AGTGCAAGCAATTGTTCGATGAACAGGTTCGCTCGCGAACAAAAGATGATTATAAATTTGCTACAGCAAAGGATCCTCTGTTTAATTCTACCTGCATCTGTAAAGTGGAGGATCATTGCAGGCAAGAACACAGATGTGTTTGTGTTCTTACCGATCGTAACCTATGTATGCTGGAACAAAACTTAAAAGGGTAGTACAGAAGGGCTTACCTGGATTATTCTCGTCGCGGAAAAGAGTAAGGGAGAATAAGGGGCTAGTCTATACTCAGTGCATACTAGCTAAAAGGTAGGATGCACGTGATGTCCTTGATTGTGATTACAAGGTGATTGCCCAAATTGTAAACATGCGGCTCTTTAGACCAAATAAGTTTCACAAAGATACAGCTCAACAAGTGAGCTTTAGTAAGCCATTGTTATTTGACATTTTATCAATGAATTTATAAATCTGAGTAGCAGTGTCTAAATTTCTAGAATGGCAATGTAACTGGAAGGTACAGAATCACACAAAGGGGCCTCACAAAGAAACTATGCGCAATTTATCACCCTAGGAAAAATTTCTTGCGTATTATAACATTACTGCTTAATGCAAGAAGTCTGGTCACAGAAACTGCAGTGTTACCGGAGGAGAAACGCCTCTCAAGTAAGACTGAACTGTACTTGCTTATATCTATCTTCAGTGAGAATTGTTTCCGATCTGATCTTTAGGATTTTTATTGAGACCGAACGCAGCGACGGGGAAAACCTAATGTAAGCCTTGCACACACCTAATACGATGTTACTCTTTCACTCAGGGTCACTCTGGCGTTTTTCGTAGTCTATAAATAACGGTTTTTAAAAACAGGTACACCCACTCCCTTATCATTCCCCAATATTTGGTCGGATTCAGCGCCGTTGAAAATGCTAAACTCGAGAGTTCTTTGTTCAAATTTTTTGTCGAACAATTCGGGAATCGTTCCAATACTTCCAAGTAGCGAAAGTCTCCAGTTAGATCTTTCTTTTCTCGAAGCTTTTAATCGAAGTTCTTTATAGCAGTAAAACAACTGTTCTTTGCTGTAGAATATTAGCTCTCTGGAGTAGCCTGGCCCTTGATATCGTTTCAGCTGCACGCAATGACCTTTGCTTTACCTTCTATTTTGGAACCCATTTTGAATCCGCAATTTAAAAAGTCCGAGAACATCTTGTTGTGCCAGGCTCCCGCGCGGTATGAAATTAGGCAATAATATAGTTAAAGGGGCATTTTAACACCACAGAAATACAGTCGACTCCCGATAACTCGCGCCTTCAAGGGAAATCGAAAAAGTTCGAGTTAGCGGGAGTTCGAGTTATCGGGAGCTCGAAGAAAATGGCCGGAAGTAAGAAAAAGAACAGTTTTTACTGCACAGTGAACGTTTTAAACACATTTAATTGTAGAAATGTCAAGTGAAAACTAAAAGATACTTCTAGATTATAAATCATAACGTAACGTAACAAAACATAGCCTAAATAGAGCATGCGTTTTACTGTTTTGAGAAGTAAAGCTGTTTCACGTTAGATTTGTGACAAACAACATCAGCCTTCATTACAGTTAACTATATGCCTACAACACGTCAATGGGAAATTCAAAATTCAATGTTTCGGACGCCACTAGACTGTTTTTCCCGACTTTTTAAGGGCTCAAAACATGGTTCGAGTTATCGAAGGTAAAATTATATAGAAATTATCTGAGGGGGAACAAAAACTACTTCGAGTTAGCGGGAGGTTAGAGGTACCAAGGGTAAAATTACAGTAAATGTATGACGGAAATCCAGGGGAAATCGATTTTGGTTCGAGTTAGCGCAAGGTCCGAGTTATCGGGAGTCAACTGTATAGCTAAGATTCGTAAGTACATCAGTGCTACAACGGCTTAAGTTCTCGTATACTCCTTCAAGTTCTAAGTTGGATTTCTGCAACTAGCTTTTGTATAGCTTGCTTAAGTAGAAATCTATAACAAACTGCAAAGTTCGCTCCATGTAAGGAATCCGGATTTCGGAATCCGGGAAAATTTTGCATGTGAAATCTGGAATCTTGGAAATTTTTGCCTGTGGCATCCGGAATCCTGGACCTTGAGATCCGGAATACAGAGCTGCAGGAATCCAAACTGCCACTAACAACTGGAATCCGGAATCCCATCTCCACTGAAAAAGATCTGGAATCCAGTACCTGGAATCCGGAAACCACCGCGTGGAATCCAGAATCCAAGACCGTCTTGGATTCCCTTCCATGGGGCGACAAAGTGTTCAAAACACAGCAGCGCGTGTGATTGCTTGCTTACGTAAGTTTGATCGTATTAACAATGCTCTCAAGCAGCTGTACTGGCTACCTGCAGTGAAGCAGAGAATAATTTTTTAAGATTAATCTTAATCAATATATGTTTTAAGGTACTTAACAATTAATTTAGCTCCTGGTTATCTGGTAGAACTATTGTGTGTTTATTAATGAACCGGCGAGGTGCCTTCGCTCATCTTCTGACAAATGGCGCTTTG